TTTTTTAAATTTTTATAATCCTAAAATTGCAATTCAATTTGTCTTGTTTCCCTAATTTTTCAATTTCATCAATCCTAGAATTAACTTTACTCCTTTCATAAGCATTCACCCTTTGTTACAGGTAAGAATTCCAAAGGTGCTTTAATAGAATGCCCTGTGGTCTCTTGTAAGTACTTTTATACTATTAATAACTCCTCCTTGGATGGGAAGATGAGGAGTGAAAACACTGTTACATTTTTGGAAAGCAAGAGGAATGTCTGCTATGACCTTTGTATATGTAACTCTTATAGGGTTGCTGAGTATGTATGTGTTTATTTAGAGAGAATGTAAGTAGTAGTTATTTTAAAGAAAGCGTATCATGCATATTTTGCTTACAGAAAGTGCTCATCTGCACAATAAAATTATTGCTAATAAGCTTTGGAAACTGTACTACTTTAAGATCAACTTTAATGTATAAGAGAAATAATATTTACTTAAAATCACTGAGTACTAAAAGAGTTCAAATATTTTGTTTATTTTCTGATTCATCTTCACAACGGTCTACTATTTGGAGTGTCCTCTTTTCCTGTATGAGGAAATGGAAACAGAAACAGGTTTAGCTTGAGCTCAAAGATCACCAAGTATAGAGTAAGAGTTCAGATTAGGTCTGACTAAAAAAATCTATGGTTATTCAATTAATTCTACTAAATTTTTGTTAATATTAACAGAGTAATATAATTAGTTCACTAATATAAAATATTAAAAATTTCAAAACTGATAAAGAAAGGAGTATGATTTCTTATTGATGAATTTTTGTTCCTTTGGAATGTACATGCTCTCCTTTTAACAAATTCCACTCTTTAACACACTGGTAGTCCTGGTTTTGCTATTAGCTATCTTCTCTGTCACTTGTTCAACAGGTACAGAACTAGTTACTGAAAACTTATTGTGGAAAATTTTGTTGATAAGAAAAGCAGTTTCAATAAAAGTTCAGATTGTTCAAGTTTCTCAGGTGGCATGTATCTCTTAGGAGTAATATCAAGATATTTTCTTTAGAAATTAGGTAAATCTCCTTTGTTATGGAAATGTGTTTATTTGTAAACGGTGAGAATATTATCATATGTCTCTGTATCTACAGCAAACGTATGTGATACCTAATTCCTTTAGGAGAATTTTCTTGCTTTCTATTCTTAATTTATGCTTGTGCATCCTCAGCAAAAGGGAAGGGGAAACTAGTGTGCATGATGCAATAATGGTTTGCATTGTTCATTTGTGCTCATTGGAACCACCCTGGAGATTTCAAAGGATAAAAGAAGATGAGACACACAAAAACTGAAACAGTCCCAAGAGAGAGAAATAATAAAGGAAGAAGGAAAATGGGCAATTATCCTTCCACTATATAATGTGATAAATATTGTCAATTTACTTAGGGGTCAATGTAAGCAATATTATTATTAAATTTAAGGATAAATAATCAATGATCACTGAAGTTTAACCTCTTGTGCACTCAGTGCTAACACTGAAAGATGTACTTTGTTTACAAATGTATGCAATTTATTCCCATCTTACAAGGTATAGATAGATGATGCATAAACAGGTAATATTTGCATTTTTGGTAGTCAGGAAATGTTATTATTTCAAAGCCTAGGGATTTCCCAGCATCCATTCGTATAATTGAAGGCATATATTTTTTACTGGTAGGCTTGAGTTATAAGGAGGTTCCAGACAAAATTCATCATGTAAGAATCTGAGGCAAAGTTGTCTTCCAGTTTGGTTCGTCTCTTTCTACATGGCACTCTACTGATGTTTCTAAAAATCCATTGAGTTTACTAAATGAATTCCATTATATTGTAGATTAAAATTAAAAATAAATTTTGTGCTCAGTTTTTCATGAAAATTATTATGCCAAGGTATTGATTATATGTTCTTCTATATAGCTTATCTTCTAAAGAGATTATACTTTAGAGAGAGTAGCTAAAAAATACTTTTATGACCTTTTATAGAAGAGATTCAAGTGAGGATTTAAGAAATCATTACACAGGGTACAGGCAGTACCTCTGAGATATTGTGGGCTCAATTCCAGACTACTGCAATTAAGCAAATATCTCCCATCTGAGTAGTAACCCATCTCAACCCTGCTTAGCTTCTGAGATCAGACAAGATCAGGTACATTCAGGTTGGTATGATCATAGACAGCAAATATCTCAATAAAGCAAGTCATATGAATTCTTTGGTTTCCCAGTGCATGCAGAAGTTATGCTTAGATTATAATATAGTCTATTATGTGTGCAATAACATTATGTCTAAAAAATGCGCATACCTTAATTTAAAAATACTTTATTGCTAAAAATGCTAACAATCATCTGAGTCTTCAGAGAGTCACAATTTTTTTGCTGGTGGGGGGTGTTGCCTCCACATTGATGGCAGCTGACTGATCAGGGTGGCAGTTGCTGAAGGTTGAGGTGGCTGTGGCAATTTCTTAAAAGAAGACAACAATGAAGTTTGCCATATTAATTGACTCTTTCACAAAAGATTTTTCTGTAGCATGCAGTGCTGTTTGATAGCATTTTACCTATAGGAAAACTTTCAAAATTGGAGTCAATCCTCTCAAACCTTATTACTGCTTTATAAACTAAGTTTATATAATATTCCAAATCCTTTGTTGTCATTTCAACAATGTTCACAGCATCTCCACCAGGAGACAATTCCATCTCAAGAAAGCGTTTACTTTGCTCATCCATGAGAAGCAACTCCTCATCCATTAGTTTTATTATGAGATTACAGCAATTTAGTCACATTTTCAGGCTCCACCCCTAATTCTAGCTCTCTGGCTGTTTCCACCATATCTGCAGTTACTTCTTTCACTAAAGTCTTGAAACCCTCAAAGTCATTCCTGAGGGTTACAATCAACTGCTTCCAAACTCCTGTTAATGTTGATATTTTGACCTTCTCCTCTGAATCACAAATGTTGTTAATGGCATCTAGAATGGTGGATCCTTTCCAGAAAGTTTTACTTTGCCCGGAGCCAAATGAATGGTAGTGATTACATATAGACTTACAAAATATATTTCTTAAATAATTAGACTTAAAAGTCAAAATTACTCCTGGATCCACATGCTGCAGAATGGATGTTGTGTTAGCAGGCATGAAAATCACATTAATCTTGCACATCTTCATCAGACCTCTTGGTTGCCTAGGTACATTGCTAATGAGCAGTAAAATTTTGCAAGCAATCTTTTTTTCTGAGCAGTGGGCACCAACAGTGCTTAAAGTAGTCAATGAACTATGCTGTAAACAAATGTGCTATTATCCAGGCTTTGCTGTTCCATTTATAGAGCACAGGAAGAGGAGATTTAGCATGATTCTTACAGCCCTAGGATCTTTGGAATGGCACATAAGCATTTGCCTCAACTTAAAGTCACCAGCTGCATCAGCCCTCACAAGAGTATCAGCCTGTCTTTTGATGATTTGAAGCTAGGCATTGACTTCTCTCTAAATATGAAAGTCCTAGATGACATCTTCTTCCAACAGAAGGCTGTTTTGTCTACATTGAAAATCTTTTTCTTAGAGTAGCAGTCTCCATTAATTATCTTAGCTAGATATTCTGGATAACTTGCTGTAGCTTCTATATTAGCACTTGCTGCTTCACATTGTACTTATATGTTACAAAGATGGCTTTTTTCATTAACCTCCATGAACTAGCCTCAGCTAGCTCCAAAACTTTTCTTCTGCAGCTTCATTCCCTTTCTCATTCTTCATAGCATTGAAGAGAGTTAGGACCTTCTCTGAATTAGGCTTTCACTTAGGGAATGAACTGTTGTGAGTGGACTGATCATATATCTGGATCTCTAAAACTTTCTCCACATCAGCAATAAGGCCGTTTTGCTTTTTTATCATTTGTTTGTTCACTGAAGTGGCACGTTTTAATTTCCCTCAGGAACTTTTCCTTTGCATTTGCCACTTGGCAAACTGGTGCCAGAGCCCTATCTTTTGGCTTGTCTTGGCTTTCGCCATTTCTTTTTCAATAAGCTTAATCATTTCTAGCTTTAGATTTAAAGGGAGAGACGTGACTCTTTCTTTCACTTGAATGCTCAGAGGCCATTTTAGGATTATTAATTGGCCTGTTATCAATATAGTAGTGTCTCAGGGAATAGGGGGGGCCTGAGGGGAGAGAGAGACCTGGACCGGCCAGTGAGTGGAGCAGTCAGAACACACAGCACTTCTCTGTTAAGTCTTATATGGGCATGGATTATGGTGACCCAAAACAATTACAATAGTTACATCAAAGGTCATTGATCACAGATCACCTCAACATACAATGATAATTAAGAAGTTTGAAATTTTGTGAGAATTACCAAAATGTGACACAGCGTTATGAAGTAAACCCATGCTATTAGAAAACTGGTGCCCATTGAATTGCTTAACGTAAGTTTGCCACTAATGTTCCATTTGTGGAAAATGCAGTATCTGTGAGCACAGTAAGGCCAACTGCAATAAAAGGAGGTATGTCTATACAGACAAACTGTATTGTATACCCTATAATTTATGCTGGATTTTAGTATCAGTTCACATTCACCTTCCTAAGTAGATTTATAAGTAATTATAGTTATTTATTATAATGGTTGTTGGTGGTGCCCCACTCAAAGTTTTTTTAATAGGATTAGTGAACTGCAGCTACTTTCCAGGTAGGAAAGTACACCACAATCTTTATTAATCTTACTCCTTGCCATACTGTTTTCTTCAGTTTCTTCTTGTGAGAATACTTCTTAACAAATCATGTTCATAACAATCCCATCTCCGGCTCTGCTTCAAGCTAAATAGGCAGTCAGCTTGTCTGCTGGGCATAATGCCATGTACAGAGAGCCAAGATTTTTCTTTACTATTATACATTTTACTCTCAAATATAAATGCTAAATTTAAATATTAACACAAAATTCTAAAACTTAAGTATCCTTCCTCATCCCAGTAACTAATAATCTAATCTTCCCTCCAGGTTATTTTACAGGATTCACTGAATAAAAATGGATGGAGGAAATCAGTCTGTACTGTCTGAATTTGTGCTTCTGGGACTTTGCCACATTTGGAATATTCAGATCTTACTCTTCATAATATTCTGTATGCTTTACCTGATCATTGTATCTGGAAATATTGGCATTGTGATCTTAATCATCACTGATTCCCATCTCCATTCTCCCATGTACTTCTTTTTGGCCAACTTGTCCTTTGTTGATATGTGGCTCTCCTCAGTCACCACTCCTAAGATGATCACAGACTTTCTCAGGGAGAACAAGACCATTTCCTTTGGAGGTTGCATGTCCCAGATCTTCTTTTCTCATTTTATTGCAGGGCTTGAGATGGTGCTACTGGTAATAATGGCCTATGACCGCTATGTGGCAATCTGTAAACCACTCCACTACTCCACTATTATGAGCCTGAAAAATTGCATTGGACTGGTAGTGATTTCCTGGGCCCTTGGTCTTCTGCATGCCATGAGTCAAATAGTTGTGACTGCACAACTCCCTTTTTGTGGTCCCAAGGAAATAGACAGCTTCTTCTGTGATACCCCCTTGGTAATCAAACTTGCCTGCATAGATTCTTATAATGTGGAAATTTTAATGAATGTTCACTGTGGGGTTGTGGCCATAACCTGCTTTATTCTATTACTGACATCCTACACATATATTCTTCTCGCTGTCCACAAAAGCTCTAAAACTGGTGCATCTAAGGCACTCTCTACCTGCACTGCCCACATCACAGTGGTGGTGCTCTTCTTTTGGCCCTGCATCTTCATCTATGTGTGGCCACTCAGCAACACAGGAGTGAACAAATTTCTTGCTGTGTTTTACTCTGTTTTTACACCTCTCCTAAATCCACTTGTTTATACTCTGAGAAATAAAGAGATGAAAAACGCTATGAAGAAGTTCAGAAACTACTATGTTGATTCCAAGGAAAATAATTAATGCCTAGAAAACTAATGATACTTCATTATGGGGAAATTCTCCCATCAGTCTGCCTGTGCCTTCAACTATGTTAGATAAAAATCTAATTTTTTTTAACAAAGGCATGCATCTATCCTGCTGACTAGCATCTTAATAGACTTCTCTTGAACTTTTTTTCTTAACTTCCTTTGGACAAAAAATGTTTCTGTAACATTGGCTCCTCCCCTCAAAACATTCACTACATTTTGTCTAAAGGTAATGGAATTTATTATTTTCTTAACCTAGCATCCTACCCAAATACTAGTGGGGAGAGGCAAAAGAAAAAACAAAGACATGATAAAAGTGATAAAACACATAGAGAATAACAGTGGAGGTTATGCTTACTAGATTTCATTAACTTAATAAAAGTTTTTTAAAATGCTATTTCTTTTGGTTAGCCCAGTTTCAAGGACTAACAGTTATTCTTTAAATTTATTCAGTGTAAACTACTAAAATAAAATCTCCCTGAGTCTGGTGACCATGTATAACATGGCTAATTATGAAACTGTAGTACTAAATATAATAGTAGTACAGTTTAATAATAGGTAGTGAGTACTTATATTTTTTTTTCTTTTTTTTTTTTGGCTGTCCTTTGTAGGCCAGAGTACTTATATTTTAATGAATCATTAGAAATCAGTTGTTACTCTCAAATAATCATAAAGTTTAGTGGGCTAGGTGTATTTAAGTATACTCCTTTGGCATTTTTAAGAAATTCCTAAATTTCCAAATCATAAGTATTTCTTTCTTTCTTCCAGAGTTAGTAATTAAGTGAATTGAAATTGACTTATAAGAATCAACACTAATAGGATGTCCTTTCCCCAGTGCATATTTTTGTCTACTTTGTTTAAGTTCAGTTTATTGTAGGCATGTGATTTTATTTCTGGGTTCTCTATTCTGTTCCATTCATTTATGTGTCTATTTTTATATCAGTACCATGCTGTTTTGATTACTGTTGCCTTATACTATAGTTTGAAGTCAAGTAATTGTGATGTCTTTAGTTTTGTTATTTTGCTTTGGCTATTTGGGCTCTTCTTTGTTTCTATGTAAATTTTAGGGTTTTTTTTCTAATTCTGTGACAAATAATGTTAAAATATGACAGAATTGAATCTGTAAATTGCCCTGGGCAGTATGATCATTTTAATAATATTGATTCTTTCCATCCCATGAGCATGAGATGTTTTTCTATTTGTTTGTGTCACTTATTATTTCTTTCATCAGTGTTTTGTAGTTTTTGTTGTAGTGATCTTTCACCTCCTATTCAATAAATGCTGCTGGGAAATTTTGATAGCCATATGCAGAAGAATAAACTTGACTTATATCTCTTACGATAAATAAAAATATGCTCAAGGTGAATTAAAGATGCAACTATAATGCCTGAAACAATAAAAATTATATTATAAAACCTATTAAAAAACTCTTCTGGACATTGGCTTGGGTGGAGAATTTATCACTATCACTCCAAGACTCCAAAAGCAAATCTAACAAAAACAAAAATAGACAAATGAGACCTAATTAAATTAAGAAGTTTCTGCACAGCAAAAGAAATTATCAATATAGTAAACAGACAACCTACAGATTGGCAGAAAATACATGCAAACTATGCATCTGACAAAGGACTAATACCTAGAATGTACAAGGAACTCAAACAACTCAATAAGAAAAAAAAAAACATTGCAAAGTGGGCAAAGGACATGAACCATGAACAGACATTTTTCAAAAGAAGATATACAAATAGCTAACAAACATATGAAAAAAATTTTCAACATCATTAATCATCAGAGAAATACAAACTAAAACCACAATGAGACACCATGTTACACCAGACAAGTGACTATTATTAAAAAATCAAAAGATCATTTGATCCAGCCATCCCACCACTGGGTATCTACCCATAGGAAAAGAAATTATTATATCAAAAAGATACCTGCACCTATATGTTTATCACAGCACTATTTACAATAACAAAGATATCGAATCAACCAAAGTGTCCATGGAATACTACTAGGCCATAAAAAGAGTGAAATCATGTCTTTTGCAACAACATGGATGGAAATGAAGGCTGTTATCTAAAGTGAAATAACTCAGAAACAGAAAGTCAAACATCACATGTTCTCACTTATAAGTGAGAGTTAAATAATGAGTACACATGGGCACATAGAGTAAAATAATAGACACTGGAGAATTGGAAACATGGGAGGGATGTATTGGAAAAAAAAATTACCTAATGGGTACTATGTATGTTAATTAGGTGATGGTTACACAAAAAAACCTAGACTTCACCAGTATGCAATGTATCCATGTAATAACTGCACATATAATCTATACATATATAGATGTATATATATATACATATATATATATATGCACTCCAAATCTATACATATATAAAAAAATCAACAATAAAAGACCTAAAACAAAAATATGGCATATATGCCATTTTTATTTCTCTTAATTTAGAAACAAAATACAAAAAAAAACGGACAGTATAATAATGGCATACTATAATGGTTCTCATGTTATATTGCCTTTATTATTATCTCCAAATTGTGTATGAGTAAATAAGACTAAAAAATATGAATCCAGGTCAAATGGGCCTCACTGACATTTACAGAACATCCTACCCAAAACCACTGAATATATGTTTTTCTCACTAGCACATGAGACATTCTCTAAGGTTAACCATATCCTAGGCCACAAACCATGTCTCAAGATGGCCCTTTTAGGCCCTCCGACTCCGAGATTCTCCTTCAGCGGGACTGAGTTTGGCTTTTTTCCGTCAACAGAATAAAAGTGCATATTCAGGAAAAGAAGCAAGAAGACGAGCCTAAATCGGATGAGGGTCAGAAAGAGGAGTACCTGAGACCACAGGAGACTCCACAGGAGGAGATCACGGAGGATAACTGGAAGCTGGAACCCCCGGAGCAGCCCGGAGACCAGCGGGAAGTGTAGGTAGATCGGCCATTTTCCCTGCCCTGCATCCCAGACTGCTGCTGGGCTCCCCAGCGAGTGGAGAGACCTGCGGACACCAACCCAGCAACGGCCGCTGCCAGTGAGTGGTAAGCCAGTAGCAGACACGGCACCAGGCTCCCAACTCTGTGTGCACAGACCCAAGCCGCGGGGCAAACGCCATATTGCCTCCTCCTCCCCTCCCCCGACCTTACCCACGGCTGCCCAGAGAGACAATATAGCCACCAGCCGGAGGCACCTACAGGGAACGGGACCTTCCCTTTTGGGGCCCTACAGCTGTCTAAGGGGAACCCAGACTGAGCCTACCACCGCGCAGTTGCTCTGCCGTGATCCAGAGGGGCATGAGTTGAGAGACATAGACCAGCAGTGGGCTCCCTGTGGTTGGGACGTGCTCCCCTGGTGTAATAGATTGAACTCTGGACCAAGGTCAGCCCTGTAGACCACAACCCGTGCACGAGGCTCGCATTTGCCTGGGCACAGAAGGGATATTTGTGAACAGCCTTACTGAGGTGTGTGTGCCTTCAGGGGCAGATCAGCATCCTAGAGGGCAACCCTCCCCCCAAAGGAGGCCGTGCGCCACCCAGGTGGCGTCCTGCGCAGGAACCTCCTGCCGGCAGCACAGCCAGGGGAGCCTGTGGCGTGTGGCTGCCTGCTGCAGAGCCCCGGAGTAGCTGCAGAGTTGGGGAGGGTGGAAAGAAGTGAGGCCCGTTCCAGATTGCAAGTTTCAGACAGCCCCACCCCCACACACAGACTCTCTGACTAAGCCTGGCCATTCCAGCCCCTCCCTGTCAGCTTTGCCTGGAAGCAGAGATCAGAACTTTGATCCCTGCTAAGGACAATGGTGGTGCCTGAGGGCAGGCTTACCCAACCCAGCTCCACCCAGACTCTCTCCTAGACTAGCCCTCACTGAAGGAGAGAAAAGGACACACCTGGAAGTCCCAGGGCCCCACCCACCACGTCAGGCACTAGAGTTCTCTCTACAAGAACAAAGCTGATAACAGGACATAAAACAACAGCGTAGCCTGTTCCTCCAAAGCAACGCCAACCTACTGACGGGAGAGCATGCGCACACCCTTTTCACACACTACTGATGACTCATATACCAGGGAGTGTCGAACCTCACCCGCAGACACCAAACCCTAACAGTGCTTCAGAAACTAAACAGAGTGTGAATACCAAACAAAAACCTAAAGAAAGAAACAACAACTGAGCCACATGGGAAGAAATCCGCTGAAGGAACTCAGAAATATGAAGAACCCAAATGGAAAACACACCCAAAAGAGGAGCCCCAGCCCCCTAGAAATGGTCCCAACCAAAACAGGCAACCAAAATGACAGAAGAGGAATTTCGTATATGTGGAATATATTAACCACAGGACGTAAAAAACCGCTACAACGGGAGAACTATGAAACACTGAGGAAGAAATAGCAGTAGGATGTAAACAGGGGATGAAATCCATTCCATGCTGGTGGAATCAGCCAGACTCAACATCATTAAAATGTCTATTCTACACAAACGATCTACAGATTCAATTGGCAAACCTATTAAAATCCCATCAGTGCATTCCTTCACATATTTTAGAAAAAATAATTTTACGCTTTGTATGTTGAACCAAATGAAGACCAAATATCAAAAGCAATTCTAGGCAACATAAACAAAATTGAGAGCATTATTAATGCAGATATCAACTAACTACTACAAAGAAAAGCCTGTAGTCATTAAATCATACTAGGATATGGCACAAAAATAGAATATACCAGTGGAAGATCTGAAAATCCTGGATATAAAACCATCGTCCATATAGCCATCCTAACTTTGAAAGCAGACCAAAAATACTATAAGGAAGAATCTCCTCTTCATTAAATGGTGTCAGAAACTGATAGCACCTTTGTAGAAGGCTAAAACAGACCCACACACTTTCACCTCTCGCTCTCACTAAAAAATCAACTCAACTCTGATAACACGACTTAAACCTATGTATTGAAACTATTAGAATTCTAGAGGAAAAGTTGGAA